ATGATTTTACCGACATTATTCACCGGAAATGTTTCAAATTTGGCATTTGAAGTTCGTAATAGATCATAAAACCTAAGACAGAAAATTATCTGTGCAGGTCCACGCCTTCGTGTAGCCCCCATATAACGGTACCCCCCGATATTCGGAATCGTTTCAAATTTGGTATTTGATGTTCGTAACGGATATTACATCCTAAGTCAAAAAATGAGCCATGTAGGTCCACGTCTTCATATAGCCCCCATATAACAATACCCCCCGATATTCGGTATTTTGATGATTTTAGCGACATTATTTAACGGAATCGTTCCAAATTTGGTATTTGAAGTTCGTAATAGATACTGCAGCATAAAACAGAAAATGGGCCATGTAGGTCCACGTCTTCGTATAGCCCCCATATACCGTACCCCCCGATATTCGGTATTTTGATGATTTTAGCGACATTATTTACCGGGATTGTTTCAAATTTCGCATGTGAAGTTCGTATTGGATACTTCAGCCCATGCCAGAAAATTGTCTGTGCAGGTCCACGTCTTCGTATAGCCCCCATATAACGGTAACCCACATATTCGGTATTTTGATGATTTTAGCTACATTATAAATAGATTTTTCTTCAAGTTTCGCATTTAAATATTGTAATAACTTATGACAAAAGTTGCCTATGCAGGTCCATGTCGTCGTATAAGCATTCGGTATTTTTAAAATTTTAGCAGAATTTTTAACGGATTTTATTTTTATTTATTTATTTATTTATTTTTTTTTTTTTTTGAAATTGCCAAATTTGTACCAAATGGTGGAGGGTATTAAAAGTTCGGCCCGGCCGAACTTACTGCTTTTTTACTTGTTAAATTATGATATGGGATGTGAAAATGGAACTTATTGGTCTACTCCATCTGATTCCTCCCCCACAAGGGGACAACTTTTTGAATAATTATAAGTCTCATTACATTCGATTACATTCAGCGATTTGCTTCAAATTTCCTGTATCTCGATATTTTTATCATCCATAGATCCAATGTAAGTGAAAGAAGTAGTCGAATTTTAGCTCTATCCCTTCACCCAATACATCTCTCTATACCAGACATCAACAGTGATCCAAAATTATTAGTTGTGGTACTAAATTGAGTATGGGGAGCTTGGATTCCAACAGCTCCCAATACTCAATTTAGTATCACTTAGTACTTTTAGAATGTTTATAGAACACATTTACAAAATCACGTCTATATCTAAACGACAGTCACTAACAGTAACATTTATATCAATATTCAGAATTTTATCTCTATTCCTTCAGCCAATACCAAATATAGTACAATTTAGTACTGTTCGTACAATTATAGTACACATTTTCTACATATGTCTAGACTAAACATGAACAGCGACCCTAATACCAAATTTTAGATTTTAAGCACTATCTGTTCAACCTAAAGTAAATTGTACCAAATTAGTACTTTTCATGCCCTTGTAGTACGCATGTTCAAAGCCACCTCTTTATCACAAACCTACCTCCAATAATAAAAAATTTCTCCATCAGTTCGGCGTAAAGCAAACATTTCCAAATTTAGTATCATCTAGTACAGTTCGCACACTTATTACACATTTTTCAAAGCCTTCTTCATGTATCAAAATTACGTATTAAGGTAAACTTCAACCTTCTTTCCAACCTTGATTCCCATCCAAATTTCAAGTTCATAGCTCTATCCGTTCACCTAATACTGAGTGGTAATTTCATAAGTTTAGTACGATTTTCTAACTTGTCGTAACTTTAAAGTTCTAATTTCTTGCAACCCAATGTACCAAAGGGTACACTCCATAATTGATTCTCATTCCAAATTTCAGAGTTCCAGCTCATTCCGTTATCCATTTTTTTTTTTTTATATTTTTAGTACATTTAAGTACTTTTCGTAAAAAACAACCCTATCACCTACACACCAAGACTGATTAAGGTGCAAAAATCAAGACTCTAACTTCAGCCTTTTCGTCAGGGCGCTCATTCTAAGACAGTTATTTCACTACTCATTTATATATATTTTAATTTTAAAAAAGAGTGATAGGCTGAGGGTAAACATCTATCGGCCAAATTTTCAATTTGTTTTAAAATTTCCACTTCACTAAAAATTGTAGACAATATTTTGCAATGTCCTTCTGATCAAAAATTGTGGATTCTTAAAGAAGATTTTTGAAAGGTTCTTCTGACCACAAATTTTTGATTTTTTATTACGAAAATTGTTCAAAGTTCCTCTTTACTAGAAATCGTATATTAAAAAAAAAATATCTTTACAAGATCCTCACAGTTTTGATTTTTTAAGAATAATTTTACAAGGTTCTTCTGTTTAAAGGATTTTTGAAAAAGGTTTTTATTAAATCTTTTGGAACAAAATAATCATGTATTTTTTTTTCAAGGAGATTTTTTGAGTTTTATTCTGACAAAAATCGTGTATTTTTTAAATATTTTACATGGACTTTCTAATTAAAATGGTGGATTTTTAAAGAATTTTACAAGGTCCTTATGAATAAAAATCGAGGATATTTTTAACTTCCACTTGTCGAAAATTGTGGATTTTTAAAGAATATTTTTAAAATATTGACCACAAATAATGAAGTAGTTTGGACCAAAAATCGTAGATTTTTTTTTTGGTTCTTCTGACAAAATTCGTGGATTTTTTAAAAAATCTTATAAAGTCCTTCTGATCAAAAATTATGGATTTTAAAGAATATTTTTGCAAGTTACTTCTAATCACAAATGTTGGTTTTTTACGAATATTTTTCAATGTTCCTCTTGATTAAAAATTGGGTTTTTTCAAAAAGATTTTCACAATGTTCTTCGTTGATTTTCAAGAATTCTGTTACCATGCGCTTCTGATCAAAAATTGTTGGTTTTTTAAAAAGATTTTTACAAGAATAGAAATCCTAGAGATTTTTAAATTCCTCTTGACCAAAAATTTTATTTTTTTAGGAAAGTTTTTCAAAGTTCCTCTTGACTATAGTGGATTTTAAGAAGGTTGATTTCCAAGAATTTTTATTAAAAGGCCTTTCTGGTTAAAAATCGTTGATTTTTCAAGGAGATAGATCGATTTTTTAAAATTATTTTAAAATTTGCCTTAAAGTTGCTCCGGGCCAAAAATCGTGGATTTTTCAAGAATGTTTTTAGAAGGCCCATTCAACCAACAAAAATATTTCTACACGGTCCATCTATTTAAAATTCATATTTTTTTAAGAATATTTTTCAAAGCTCTTCTTGAATAAAAACCATGGATTTTTGAAGAAGGTTTTTACATAGTCCTTCTGTCCAGAACCCTAAAGATTTCAAAAAAGTTTATACGAGGCTCTTTTCAGTAAACATCGTGGAGTTGTCAAGAAGATCTTTCAAGGTCCTTCGGACTGAAATATTACAAGATTCTTCTGACCAAAAACCGTAGAGTTTTCAAGAAGGTTTGTACGAGTTCCTTCTGATCAAAAATCGTTGATTTTTTTAATTGGGTTGGGTTGTTCTTGACCAAAATAAGCTGATTTCTTAAGTAGAGTTTTTTTTTCAATAATGGGACAATGCCCCATCCACCAACATTCGTGAATTATTTTAATAATTTTTTTCAAGGTTCCTCTTGAGTTTTTTTCATACCCTCCACCATACTTTGTCATTCCGTTAGCGTAAAATTCTAAGTCGATTTAGCCATGTCCGTCTGTCTGTCCGTTTGTCTGTTGTAATCACGCTATCTTTCGAAAGAATTGAGATAGAAGGCTAAAATTTTGCACACGTGTTTATTTTTCCAGTAGGCAGGTTAAGTTCGTAAATGGGCAATGTAGGTCCACGTTTTTATATAGCCCCATATATAAGTACCTCCCGATATTCGGTATTTTGATGATTTTAGCGACATTATTCATCGGAATTGTTTCAAATTTTGTATTTGAAGTTCGAAATGGATACTACAGCCTAAGACAGAAAATTATCTGTGCAGGTCCACGTCTTCGTATAGCCCCCATATACGGCATTTTGAAGATTTTAGCGACATTATTTACCGGAATTGTTTCAAATTTGATATTTGAAGTTCGAAATGGATACTACAGCCTATGACAGAAAATTATCTGTGCAGGTAAACGTCTTCGTATAGCCCCCATACAACGGTTCCTCCCGATATTCGGTATTTTGATGATTTTAGCGACATTATTCAAGGGAATTGTTTCAAATTTGGTATTTAAAGTTCGTAATGGATGCTACAGCCTGTGACAGAAAATTGTCTATGCAGGTCCAGGTCTTCGCACAGCTCCGATATAACGGTACCTCCCTATATACGATATTTTGATGATTTTAGTTACATTAATCGCTGTTTATTTCAAATTTCCAATTTGAATATGGTAATGTCTTATGACAAACAATGACCATGTAGGTCCACGTCGTATAGACCCCAATATAACGGCTATATTTGATATTTTTAAAATTATAACAGAATTTTTTAAGAATTTTATTTTTTGAAAATTTTCAAATTCGTTCCAAATTTTAGAGGGTAATCAAAGTTCGGCCGGGCCGAAATTACTGCTTTTTAACTTGTTTTTTTTTGAAAATATTTTTGTGGACTTCCTGCCAACAAATCATTAACTATTTAAGAATATTTACGTTCTTTTGCACTGTGTAAATAATAAAAATCATATAAGTTTGTCGCATATGGTAAATATACGTATGTATGTATAAAAAAAACATAGGTTGGTTATATTTATCTCTCACTTTCTAACTTGTTTTGCGTTTACTTTGTTTACCAAAAACAGAATTGCGTTTACTGAACTCTCTTTGTTTTGAGTTTGTTTAGAAAACTCAAAAGATGCAAATAAATGCATTTTCCGCTGATAGATTTATAATAAACAAATCAAAACCCATCTTTTTAAAAATATTAATATTAACACATAAAAATTGTACGCACTAATATATTGAACTGGAATGCCAAAATATCAAATAAACAATCAACAATTTCTTGTTTTTTTTTTTTAATTATTTTGTTTTATGTATAACCTACAGGTTTTTAATCCTTGATATGTGCGATTGGGCTCCGTTGGAGGTATGATTATGGTGTGCTGCCGAATATCGGTCGAAGGGAAACGCATTGTGTCCGGAGCCGGTGCTATACGCGCCCGATTTTGTAAACGCGGCGAGGATGTATTCATATTGGTTCCTTGTTTTTTTTTTTTTTTGGTTTTGTTAGTTTCACTTCAGTTTAGAACTTATCGCGATCTATGCCGATCGAAGTACTGGCCGCAACTGACTGACTGACTAAACAAAATTTCTTATCTTTCGTTTCAATTGCCCACAAAATGTTCGTAATAAACATATTCCGAATTTATTGATACGTTTATTCCCTGATAAATAGAATTGAATTGAATTTGTGTTAATGTTCGTTTGTATGTCATGCGGTGTGGATAGCTCCGTTCCAGCGGAGAACGAGTGCGCTAATTCGCTGCCAGAAAATACTATGGATTGCCGACCGAAGAAAATCTCAATGAAATCCCATTGATTTGTTTTGGAAAAGGCGATTTGAATTTTCAGTTCATATATTATGCGGCCGTTGTGAGTAGATATAGAATATTTTCTACTTTCAAATCAACACCATCGACAAGGCAGCAGCTCACCATCCTCAGCATCAGCGCTATCAATGTGTTAAATCGAGCAAAATATCGACTATTTTTCCAGGCACAACATCGGTCGGCGGTAACAACTTTTGTTTACATTAGCTAGGTATTGATCGGCCCGCCCGATGCTGTGTGTATATTTTTGTTTAGAGAATGTATGAAAATACAAATGTTGAAAAGTTTATTTTCTCTGTCCAAAATATTTTTCCTTCTTTTTTTTTTTTTTTTGCTCGTCTACACACATTAGAAGGGAAAGAAATTCACACCGCCAGAGATTTATATTGGGATTTGTAGTACATAAAATTGCACTGATATCGAGAGGCTGATACATTACACTCAACAATTTATGTGTGTTATTTTCAGTTAAAAATATATCAAGACTGGGGAAAATTGTTCAGGGTCATGGGTTTTCAGTTTAAAAATAAGTTAAAAGGCACATTTCTTTAGATACAAGTTAGAGTTTTGAATTTTTATCACATACATTACAGTATTTCTAGAATCTTAATATTTTTTTCGATATTACTGTTTCACCTTTAAAATCAATTTGTTCCAAATTTTTGTGCAACACTTCCAAAAATTGTGTATCTTTCAAAAAATGTTTACAACGTTCTTCTGATAAAAATTGTGAATTTTTTAAAATCATTTTTCAAAGTTCAAAGTCCGTGTTGACTACGAATTGTGGATTTTTAACAATGGATTTTTTAAGAAGAGGTTTATAGGGCCCTTCTGTCTACAAATCGTGGATATTGTAGGAATATTTTTTAAAGTTCCTCCAGACCACAAATCGTGGAGTTTTTCAAAAAGTTTTCAAGGTCCCCCTGAATTAAAGAGTAATAGTATTTTTACAAAATTCCTTTTAGATTTTTAAGAACATTTTTACAAGATCGTTGTGACCAAAAATAGTGAATTATCGTAATTTTTTCAAGAAGATTTGACAAAAAAGATTTTGCAAGGTCCTTGTGACAATTATCGTAATTTTTTCAAGAAGATTTGGCCAAAAAGATTTTGCAAAGTCCTTGTGACAAATCGTGGATTTTTTTGGAATATTTTCAGAGTCTGTGTTGACCAAACTTGTGGAGTTTTACCAAATCCTATTGACCAAATCTTGTGGATTTTTTAAGAAGATTTTTGCATGATCTTGACCTATTTTTCAAAGTTCCTTTTTTGTAAAAATTCTAAATATTTAAAGAAAATGTTTACAAAGCCCTTCTGAAGAAAATTTCTAATTTTTTTAAGAATATTTTTCAAATACCTAAAATCGTGAATTTTTCATAAGGATTTTTGCAAGGCCCCCCTTGAACAAAAATTGGATTTTTTCAGAATATTTTTCAAACTTCCTCTGGTTTAAAAATCCTGCATATATCAAGAAAAATTTTACAAGGCCCTTTTGATCAAATGTTGTAATTTTTTTAAGAAAAATTTTAAAAGTTCTTCTTGTCTCAAGGATTTTGCAATGCCCCTCTTTCGAAAAATCGTGTACTCTTCAAGATTTCTTTCAGAATATTTTTCAAACTTCTCATAAAAATCCTGAATATATCAAGAAAAATTTTACTAATTACAAATGTTGTGAGTTTTTTTAAGAACATTTTTAAAAGTTCTTCTTGTCTCATGGATTTTTAAAAAGACTTTCAATGCCCCCTTTTCCAAAAGATGTTTCCAATTTTCCTCTTTTCTTTACAAATATTGGATTTTTTAAAAAGATTTTTGCAAGTTCCTTCTGAGCAAATATCATGAATTTTTCAGGAAAATTTTCAACCGTGGATTTTTGAATATTTTTACGAGGTCCATCTGACCAAAATTCATGGGTTTTTTGGAGAGCATTTCTCAAAGTTCCTTTTGATCCAAAAATCGTGAATTTTCCAAGAAAATTTTTAGATTATCATTCAGACCAAAAATTCTGAAGTTTACAGAATATTTTTCAAAGTTTTTCTAGACAAAAAAATCTTTCATACTTTAAGAAGATTTTACGAATGTCATTCTAACCAAAAATCGTGGATTTTTGAAGAAGATTTTTTAAGGTCCTACTGACCAACATTCGTGATCTTTTCTTAAGAATGTTTTCAAAAGTCGAGAGATGGTGAATTTTTTTTTGAAAGATTTTGAAAAGGTCTCTCCGACTGAATGAGAAACTGATTTCCATCTCTGATTGTTGTGTATACAATAGATTTAAAATTGGTGTGTCTGGTTACCCTAACATTTGTTGCAATTGTAGCGAATTGTTACTGGAAATCGTCTGTTATCACAAATGTTGTGCAAAAGAGAGCGATTCAAAATGAAATTTTGACAATTCTCTCACTGAGAATTGACATAGACAAAAGAAAATATAGACAACGAAAAGTCTGTCCGTCTGTCCATGTTAATTTGTAATTACTCTACACGCAATTATAGCCCGATCTTCACGAAATTTAGAATGAAGGTGGGGATAAGGTCAGAATAGAACCCTATTTCTTTTGGAGATGATCGCACAATATTTAGGTGTCGAAATGGACCAAAAACTGAAAAATTTCCTGATTTTGCAGTTGCTCTACAGGTCGTAATTATGGACCAATCGACGCGGAAATTAGCAAGGGGCTAAAGCTTCGGGTTGGGCAGAAGCCTTCCGATTTTGATGGTCAATGGATAATATTTAGTGGGTGAAAAAGACTATAACATTTGTGTTAAATAAAAGTCAAATTTCCATTATACCGCGAATGTTTTTAGTCCCGGCGAAATCATAAATAGACGAACAGGTCAATTCTAACCGTTACGTAGATGTCGATAGTAAATATATCGGATATATATAGCGAAATATATACAATATGTATATGCAAAGGAAAGGAATGTTAGATGTAATACTTATATCTCAAGAATGGCTGGACCGATTTTGACAAATTTTGTCAATTCAGAATGCCCTCTTGACATAAAAGCATAAAATCTAATCGCATAAAAATAAGTCAAAATTGATCTTAATATAGATTTTTTAGTATTTTGTGACATTTTTTATTTTTTCATATTTTTTATCGCATGCGCTTTTTTCAATTTGACGTATAATATTAAGGTGTAATATTTTTCCACCTTACAACACAGGTTTGGGATATTATATACAGATTGCTATTATTGTCCGATGCTCACGAAAAGGGTAGGGTTAGGCTCAGAAGGGCTAGGCCTATTGTTTTCAAAGATGTCCGCAATATATTTAGGGGACCAACAACTAAAAATGTTCCTGATTTTGCAGCCGTTATAAAGGTCATAAATAGAAACCAAAGGACACGAAATCTCGCATGAATTTAGAGTTTAGGACAGCGGGTAGAATGGACCACTACTTTTGTCTGAAAAATACCAACATTACTTACAGGCGATAGCCGAAATACACAAAGTGCGAACTTCTGCCTTTTTTGCTGATTTCGTTGACGAATATAGCCAAATATCGTAGACAAGAAGATCGTGTAGAAGAGTCTACATTTGGAGATACAAGGGGGCACCTGCTTTTGGAAATGATCGCAAAATACGACGGAGTGCGTAAATATAGGGCAAATGTCCCTGGTCAAAATGCTAAGGGTAATATCTGGGCAGTGCTCCGTCACATAATTTCAAAAGCGAAATCTTCCAAATTGGATTTGGACATAAGGGGGTTTTGAACATATTGTAGTGTTGTAGGGTATCACATGGTCGGCCCCGCACGACTATAGCCTTTGCTTACTTGTTTTCACTTGTCTTTTATTATGGAACAATTTTCAACTGACAAATATCCTACAGTTTTTGTTATTTTTAACGTTTTAGAATTGAGTGACTTTAAAATTCCCACTCAAACCCCTTAAACGATATAGACGACATCTGCTGATCCGATTTTTTTCGAAGATGAACGGCGAGAGCATTTCGTTGTCTATATTTTCTTTTGTCTATGGAATTGACATATTCTTTTTGAACAAATTTCTTCTCGCAATCACTTTCAACTCCTATTCTCCTTCCGGTGATTTATAGTTGGACAAGCAATTTTATTTAAAACATATTTATTTTGGTAATCACAATCCTAATTGTTTTTTCGGTTCATATTTTAATTTTTGAATGCTTCCTTCCTTTTTTTTGGCGGATAAATTGTTTTGTTTGCATGCAAGTTTATGCTCGGATTCCGTCTGTTTACTTTCCACAGTTTTCTTGTCAAAGAGAATAAAACTACCTTACTCTCTCATAAGGAGCTTTGTCCAGTAGCTCCTGCAGGAAATGTAACAAAACATACCTAATATATATTTTGACAATGAGATGTTTGGCATGGTACATGTTTGGTTCCAGAAATGCAGGAGTGTAAAAGTTTTTTCTGCGATAATCGATTTTTCCTTTATGATATCAAAAAAAAAAAAAAAAAAATGGAAAAATAGTAGATTTTTGCAGGCTCATAATTTTGGAAAAAATCAAGCATATGATTGCACGGTTTTACCTTCTAGTCTATCAAGGCATTTATTTCTTCATATAAAATTATGTACACCCCACGTATTCAGCTTTATGACTGGTACACAAAATAATAACAATAACCTGATAACCGATTTGCTGATTTTTTTAGCGAACAAACCCAATCCACAACCTAGCCAATCGAGCACATATATATTACCGTTCAAATATGTAATTTATTTAAACGTATCAGTTCATGTGTACATCGTGCCATATCTCAAGTGTTTTG